CTCCGGTCCCATCGCGGCGGATCCCGACGCGGCCGCCGCCCGCCCCGCCTCCCGCCGCACCCCCGCGGCGCCCCCTGCCGGCCAGAGAGCCAAGGGAGGGAGAGAAAGAGGAGGGGAGGGGGGAGGGGACAGACGAAGGGGAGACAGGTCAGAGGGAGGGGACAGACTGACCCAGGAGGTCAGGAGCAAGGGACGGCCCAGGAGGTCAAGGGGAGGGGACAGAGAGGGACCCAGGAGGTCAGGAGGCGAGGAGTTGGGGGTAGTGGGACTGGAGGAGGCTGGAGGAGGAAAGGTGGAGGGAACAAGCAGGACAGAAGAGGGACAGGGCAGAGAGGGAGGGGCTCAGGACATTAGGGGGAGGGAATTGGGGGTGTAGGGGGCGGAAACAAGAGAGGGAAGGGGCCCAGGAAAACAGTAAGGGAGGGCAGAAGAGGGGTAAAGAAAGGGGCTGGGGGGAGGGAGTTGTGCAGCGCAGGTGGGCGGGGGGCAGGGGCCTCCCAGGAAGGGCAGAGGGTCAGAGGCCAGTCTGGGAAGGCCAAAGGGCAGGTGTTGGGGCGCAGAAGGGATGCTGAAGGGAGCTGCTATTTGAGGGTGCGAGCTGAGCTGGATGTGGGGACAAAGGCATTCTGGATGAGGAAGAGACCAAGAGACTGGGAGACACAGGAAGCGAATGCACAGAGGTGGACAGCAATCCCTGGTCCATTGCCCTCCTGCCACAGCCAAAGGCATGCCCTGAGCCTTCAGGTCGTAGCTTGGGTCCATGTAATAGGTGGTTAATGGGTGTGGCAGAGGACTAGAAGCATGGTGAAGAGGAAAAGCCTAGCTGGTAGCTGTGTCTTAAAAAAAAAAAAAAAAATGCCAGGCATGGCTTTAATCCCATTTGGGAGGCAGGGGCAGGCAGATCTCTGTGAAATTCAGGCCAGCTAGGGCTGCAGGGAGACCCTGTCTCAGCAGCCACAAAGGCCAGGCCCTGCCACCTGGCCCCTGGGAGCCAATCTACTCATGGCAGCCAGTCGAAGGCCCTTTAAGGTCTTGGCCTCAGTCTATCTGTGAGTCTCCAGCCCCCTGGGAGGTCCTTCAGGCACACCCCCTTACTATCCTTTCTCTTGAAAGTTCTACAAGGCCTCTAGTGCTTTTGGGCAAGTGGCTGCTCAGAACCCAAGTGCCTGCTGGGCACAGGGACCCCAACCTTTGAATTCTGCGTGTCTGTGTGTGTGTGTGTGTTTGTGTGTGTGTCCTGCCTTCCCTGCCCTTCCACTCTGTTTTCTTCTGATGGGAGCCTCACAGCTGAGTAGAGTACTACTCAGAGTTCCCCAGCTAAGAGCTCCCTCCATTTGCCTCCATTTGTCCCTCCATTTGTCCCAGAATGCCCTCACCAAGGGCATCTGTGGCTCCTTGCCCTTCCAGGCTGTGCCGTGCTGTTCCCTACCTCCTCCCAAAAGCCTCTGATGCCAGGCAAAGCTCTCCCTGGCTTTCTGCCCATTGCTACCCCGTACCCCTGAATATTTCCATTCATTATGCAGTCACAGGCCCCAACCTGAACTCCTTGCCTCCCACCCAATACTTGTTCATCCCAGCCCAAAGCCACAAAACACTTGAACACCAGGGAGCTGAGAAAATACCGTCTGCTCTGTTCACGGCGACTTTTTCCTTATAACCAACAAAATAATTGTTTTTTTAAGTATCTGAGACGGGTGCCTGCAGGACTGAAGTTGTTCCCAGTCAACCAACCACTGGGCTGGCTGCAGAGCTAGGGACATGTGGCTGGCTATTCCAGGGGGGCGACTGGGCTAAGGGCCCAGGCAGACTTTGTGCTGTGTGTGGGCACAGACAAGAATGTGAGAGTTGAGGTTTTCCTGAAGCCAACACGTGCCTGTCATCCCAGCTCTTAGGAGGTGGAGGCAGAAGGATCAAGAGTTCACAGTTACCAGGTATGGTAGGACATGCCTTTAATTCCAATACTCTGGAGGCAGAAGCAACCTGAGCTGTGACCAGCCAGCCTGGTCTACATAGTGAGTTCCAGGCCAATTACTGAAACCCTGTCTTTAAAAAAGGGAAAAAAGGGCTGGGCATGGTGCCACACACCTTTGATCCCAGCACCCAGGAGGCAGAGGCAGGCAGATCTCTGAGAGTTCAAGGCCAGCCTGGTCTACATAGTAAGTTCCAGGCCAATTACTGAAACCCTGTCTTTAAAAAAGGGAAAAAAGGGCTGGGCATGGTGCCACACACCTTTGATCCCAGCACCCAGGAGGCAGAGGCAGGCAGATCTCTGAGAGTTCAAGGCCAGCCTGGTCTACATAGAGAGTTCCAAGTCAGGTGGGGCTATAGGGAGACCCTGTGGCAGGGACTGGGCTAGCCTGGAACAAGCTACACCTGAAGCTTTCCCCCCAAGCAAGTTGAGGATGTGACATCCCAAGTTTTCTCACTTGAAGAGCAGGCTGAGGACTCAGAAAGCACCCCTACCCTTCTCTCCTTGAGTGACAGGTAAGGGCCTGCTGGGAACTATGGCCTCCTCAGAGCATGGATCTTCTGCCCAGGCCTCAAAGCTGACTAAATGTGATGCCTATGGGCTGAGGGATGGTGAGGGGCTGAGCTTCCTGCCCACAGGAGGAACCAAGTAGGAGCTGGATCAGTTCACTCAGCACTGACAAGGCTGCATGTGAACAAAGGCCTCTGCTCACTTAAGTATGAACAACTGCTGGGCCAGAGCAAAACTGTCTCTTCTCTGGGGGTGAGCTTAGTGACTCTTCCCCAAAGCTTCCTGTCCAGTCTCCAGCATAGGTGTCAACAACTTCAGGCCCATTTAATTGTGGCCTGATTACTGTCCTTCTCTTACGTGGCTCTGCCCCAACACCTTGAATAAGCCTGAACTGCAGCAGATCCCCTTTCCGGAAAAGGGGTCTCCTAACTCTAGACTTGCTTTGTACCACAGGCTGGCCTTGAACACACCATCCTCCTGCCTTCCCCTCTCAAATGACTGGGATTACAGGAGTGTGTTACCATGCCCAGCCCTACATAAGTTTTTGAAGGCATAAATGGGTCCAACTGTGGCTGGAGAGATGGCTCAGCAGTTAAGAGCACTTACTGATCTTGCAGAGGACCTGAGTTAATTCCCAGCACCCAAGTCAGGTGACTCCCAACTGTCTCTAACGCCAGTTCCAGGGGTCCAATGCCCTCTTCTGGTCTCCGTGGGCATTGAATGCATGGGTGCAGGCAAAACACACATGTACATCAAATAAATGGGGTCTACCAGATGTGATATCTTCACTCTTTAGCTTCTCTCTAGCCATCTTCGTTCCCCTAGCAATAGTTGTTGGGCTGGCCTTCAGAAAATTCCTATACATCCCTCCAAAACCCTCCACTCCAAAACACCCTTCCTCCTCTTCTGTCTCAGGCTGGACCCCATGATGTGGGAGGGTCTGTGTCCAGGTCTTGGCTCCCAGTCTACGTACACCCTAGAGACACAGGGTGGACCCTTGGGAGCCATGGGGAGCAGGACTGTGTCTGAGGTTCACAGATCTAGACTTATATTTCACTCAAAGAGAGGACCCAGGCTCCCCTGAGCTTAGGTAGGAAGGGACCAGAAGTCAGGGGCAGGGATGGCCCTGGGCTGAGGGATGGAGGGTCCAAGACCAGGCTGGACTGGAGGCAAGAGGGGGTGGCTCTGAGAGTCGGATGGAAAGTTCGTTCCTGGGATCTAAGTGCCCTCATTTACCACGTGTGTTAATTGCCTCCTGGGTACCAGGTGATTGGGCAGAGCTGGCCCATTTTCTGGAGGTAGGTCGCCTGATTATTTTTGTCTACTATGTCCTTGTAGGCTTTGACATCCATGCCCAAGAAGGGAAGAAAGTGGGCCAGAGTAATTTGGTCACATTGGGAGGGACTCTAGGGAGCTGTTAAAGCAGGGACTAGAGCCTGAGGACAAGGGTCTTTGGCACCCAGGCAGAGGGGGCAGGACCTGGAGAAGCTGAGGGGCAGCCAGCTTCACTAGGCAGTGGCCTGAATGGTGGCTTTAATGGTGGCCCATGCCTAACACCCCAAAATTCAGGAGGCTGTGGGTTCGAGGCTAGCCTAGGCTATGCAAATCCCTGGCTCAGCAGGGCACTGGTTGCTCCTACAAAGGACCTGGATTCAGTTCCTGGCACCGACATGGCAGCTAACAACCACCCATAACTTCAATTCCAGAGTATCTGACACCCTCCTCTGGCCTCACAGGCATTGCACACATGTGGTGCATTTACATACATGTAGGCAAAACATTCATACACATAAAAAGAAATTTAAAAATTTAAGGGGCTAGAGAGATGGCTTAGTGGTTAAGAGCACTGACTGCAGAGGACTCAGATTCAATTCCCAGCACCCACATGGCAGCTACAAACTGTCCTTAACTCCAGTTCCAGGTGAATCCAACGTCCTCTTCTATCCTCCATGTCATTGTACAACATGGGTGCACCCACATACATGCAGGCAATACACTCCTAAACATAAAATAAAAATAATAAAATTTAGCTGGGCACGGTGGCACATGCCTGTAGTCCCAGCACTTGGGAGGCAGAGGCAAGCAGATCTCTGTGAGTTCAAGGCCAGCCTGGTCTACATAGTGAGTTCCAGGACAGCTTGGGCTACAGGGAGACCCTGTCTCAAAAAAAAGACCAAAAATAAAATAAAATAGAATAAAATTTTAAAACTATTTTAAGCAGGGCATGGTGGCACATTCCTTTAATTCCAACACTTGGGAGGCAGAGGCAGGCAGATCTCTGTAAGATCGAGGCTAATCTGGTCTCAATAGTGAGTTTCAGGTCATCTGTGGCTACAGGGAGACCCTGTCTCAAAAAGATCTTTTTTAAAAAAAAAAAAAAAAAAATCCTCAAAAACAGGGCTGGAGAGTTGGCTTGACACCCTCTTCTGACCTCTGTGAAAAATGCATGACACGGGT